TTTCTGTTAAATCATTCACAACACAATAAAACGTCTGTTTCTGTTAAATCATTCACAACACAATACAACGTCTTTTTCTGTTAAATCATTCACAACACAATAAAACGTCTCTTTCTGTTAAATCATTCACAACACAATACAACATCTGTTTCTGTTAAATCATTCACAACACAATAAAACGTCTATTTCTGTTAAATCATTCACAACACAATAAAACTATTTCTGTTAAATCATTCACAACACAATAAAACGTCTATTTCTGTTAAATCATTCACAACACAATAAAACATATATTTTTGTTGTAAACTTCACAGTGATGCCGTCAGAAATAGGTCATGTAATTGGGCCAGCACTACTGTTGTACAATTGCATGTTCAATTACCAGAGCACATAACTTCAGGGCCATTCGTATTATAGCTTTTTACATGAAATGATATTGGTTTAATATTCATCCGTTTAATGATGTGATTAAGAAAAAATGGACAGTTTGAAGTTTTTGGATGTAGTTACTTTATTATCAACTTATTTTCTGTTTTCTGTTGGTTCCTGCTTTGCCAGACATTTGACAAGTCATATGCCTAACTGTTTGTCTGACAACAGAAATATGTCTAACTGTTGGACTGACTACACTCAATGTCTAACTGTTTGACTGACAACACTCAATGCCTAATTGTTTGTCTGACAACAGAAATATGTCTAACTGTTGGACTGAAAACACTCAATGTCTAACTGTTTGACTGACAACACTCAATGTCTAACTGTTGGACCGACAACACAAATGTGCCTAACTGTTGGACTGACAACACTCAATGTCGAACTGTTGGTCTGACAACACAAATGTACCTAACTGTTGGACTGACAATACTCAATGTCTAACTGTTGGACTGACAACAGTCAATGCCTAACTGTTGGACTGACAACAGTCAATGTCTAACTGTTGGACTGACAAGTCAATGTCTAACTGTTGGACTGACAACACAAATGTGCCTAACTGTTGGACAGACAACACAAATGTGCCTAACTGTTGGACTGACAACAGTCAATGCCTACCTGTTGGCTCCTTGTATGACTCTTGTAGTGTATTCAGTGCCCCAGAGGTAAAGCGCTTGGTATGAGGCTCACCCTTCATTTCTTTTGCACCAGTTAGGGACTGCCAGATTGATGATGCTGTCGATGATTCAGATGCTGAAGGATTATCAGATTCTAAAATAGAATAAGATATATTTAAATTTGTTTTCTCAAGCAAACTTTTATTTTTGAAGTTTTTACAACATAAATTGCAATGTAGTCTGGTCATTTTGATCATATTAAATTGAAAACTCCTATACTTTTGTTTTTATTACAATCATAGAAATATATTGTATCTGAAAAATTCTACTAATATCCAATATTGTGTTATTTTTATTATGGGAAATGACTGATTTAACAGTAAAGATATTAAATTTGAAATTGGAGACAAACAGTTTAGTAGAGTTCACTAAATATGAACTGTATACCACCTGCACAATAATTACGATTGCATCAGATATAGAATATTCCCTGTAACTAAACATACTCCTTTTGAGAATTCCTTTGAGGGCTGGCGGCTGGGCTGTACTGGTCTGTCCTGTAGCACCGTGTGACAAGCTTTTGGTTGAACCTACATCAAAATAAAGGTTATTTATATCATATATTGTGATTAAATTTATGTAGAAAACAAATAATTCTGTCTTTTTTATCAGAAATATATTTTCAGCATTAAGGAACACAAATATGAGCATTATTTATTTCATGTTGTCGTTTTTTGCTCCAGTCAAGTCATGAATATATTATATCAAGAAAAAAAAGGACATGAAAAAACAACCTCATGTGTTGCAACAAATCAAGTGATACAATCTGTATTAATGATCAACAAACCTTGGTCCCCAGACCTGGTTAGTGTGCTTCTAGGTGGACTTCGGTCCTTTAAGGTGCTGGGTGGGGGAGGCATCAATCTGGCATCAGCACTTCCTTGCTGGTTTGGACCAAAGCTAGATTGCTGCATTACAGAGCTCATTGATAGATCAGGTGCAGAGCTTGTTCTCTGGTTTCCAAACTGACCTGGTCCAGAGCCTGTTGACTGGTTTCCAAACTGACCTGGTCCAGAGCTAGACAGCTGGTTTGCAAACTGACCTAGTCCAGAGCCTGTTGAGTGGTTTCCAAACTGACCTTGTCTAGAGCTAGACAGCTGGTTTCCAAACTGACCAGGTCCAGAGTTGGTTGGTGGGTTTCCATAAGGTCCAGAGCTGGGAGGTGGGTTTCCATAAGGCCCAGAGATAGAGGATGGGTTTCCATAAGGTCCAGAGTTAGTAGATGGGTTTCCATATGGCCCAGAGCTGGGTTGTAGGTTTCCATAAGGCCCAAGGTTTAGTGGCAGATTTCCATATGGCCCAGAATTTGGTGGTGGGAAATTACTACCAAACTGGTTAGGTCCAAGGTTTCCCACCTGGTTGTTGTATTGATTTAAAGCAATATCGCCAGGGTTAACAGTTTGTCCAAATTGATTTCCAATCTGGTTTGTGTTGGGTGGTGGAATATTAGTAGCAAACTGGTTTCCAATCTGGTTGAAGTTGGGGGGTGGCACATTGTTACCATATTGGTTTGGGACAAGGTTGGATGTCTGCATATTGACTCTACCTATTTGGCCATCAGGCTCTCTTGAACTGAATGAATCTATCTGCTGACCTCTAAACATGTCTCCTGGTGACCTTGATCTTTTGGACCTATGGTCTGGTGATAATGATCTACCTGACCTTGGATCTGGTGATCTTCTATGCCTCGCATCTGGAGTCAAAGACTTTCTTGACCTTTGGTCTTGTGACCTTCTGTACCTCGGGGACAATGACCTTCTTGACCTTGGGACTGGTGATTGTGACCTTCTTAACCTGTGGTCTGGTGACCTTGACCTTCTTAACCTGTGGTCTGGTGACCTTGACCTTCTTAACCTTGAGTCTGGTGATCTCCTAGACCTTTGATCTGGTGAAATTGATCTGGAATGTCTCTGGTTGTAATATCTCACTGGAGATCTTGACCTTGACTTTCTGAATGGAGGTGGCGAGTTGGATCTCCTTGGTGACAGCCTTGTGGAGGATGGAATATTAGGATAACGTACAGGTGACCGACTGATGAACATTTCTTGTGACTGCTGACTTCTATTACTGTAAGGACTAGGAGAACGTCTAGACTGGCGGTTATAAGAATATGGAGATAGGTTGCCTCGACTGTCATATGTATCTGGGGGATATCGATACCCCATGCCTCGATCTGGTGAACGTTTAGTCCCATGACGGTCAGGAGAACGGTTGGCCCTGCCTAAAGAACCATAATGACCAGGTGAGTGGAGATCTGCTGAACGCTGTTCTCTAGGAGGAGACATGTTTCTGTACCGTTCTGGAGACCTACCAGACTTCAGCATACGATCAGAGGATATTCTGGATCGGTCTGATGAGTGCCCAGGAGGTGAGTTACGATAACGATCTGGGGAAAGTCTTGCACGATTCAAGTCTCTAGTTGTATCCATTCTGGTTGGAGACCTTCGTCCTGATGACCCTCTCTCCTTGTAGTCAGAGGATATTCTAGATCTGTCTGATGAATGCCCAGGAGGTGAGTTACGATAACGATCTGGGGAAAGTCTTGCACGATTCAAGTCTCTAGTTGTATCCATTCTGGTTGGAGACTTTCGTCCCGATGATGCTCGCTCCTTGTAGTACTCGGGAGACAATCTTGTTCTGGCTGTGCCCTCTCGCCTTAAGCGATCAGGGGACCGTCTGCCTGGTGAACGCCGTGAATGGGGAACAGGGGAGAGACGTTTTGGTGACCTTGATCCTGTAGACAATTTATCTGTTGATGGAAGAGGTTTACATCTGGTTACCAATTTAACTGGTGACTGTCGCCTTTCTCTTCTCCTCCTCCTCTGCTGGTCCTCTCTCATCAGGCTATCTCTTTCTAATTCTTCTACTGTTGTGTCTTTTTTACTACCTTCTGCTCTGCTGTCAAACCTACTCTGCCTTCCCTCACCACGAGATTTAGAGTCATCCCTGCTATCCTTCGACAGTTCTGAGAACACTCTACGTTTTTTGTCTGGTCCTGTTTGACCTTTCTCGTCACTTGTTGTTACAATTCTAGCATTTATTATGTCTGCTCTATTTTTAACTTCCTGACTCAGCCTAGCATCTTTTTTAACATCTTTACCAACTCTTTTTTGATCACCTACTTTCCTTTCTTCTTCTTTCTGTAATTTGTTGAAAGGATCAATAACTTTTCCAAACAGGTTGTCTGGTATTTTTAGAGTTGTCTGCTTTTCTTGTTTATTTTCATCTGGTTTGTTGGAAGCTTTCTCTTTAGAAACAACCAGACGACTGACAGGAACTGGTTGTATTTGTTTTGGAGATTCTATTTTCTTCACATTGAAAGCTAGTTTGGGTTGAGGTCCCTTTTTATTGAAACCTTTCTTTGTATTATCATCTTTGGACAAAATTTTGTCAAGCTCATGAATTGCCTCTTCAGTGCTATTCTTGGACTGAATGTTTGTGTGTTGCCTTGATGTGGGAGTCTGATAGGATACCGGTGTCCTTTGTATGTAGTAGTCAAGGGACTGGCTGACAGGCATCTGGGGAGGGGGGCCACGAGGGGTTGGGTAAGTCTGGTTAACAGGTGTTTGGGGAGGGGGGCCCCGAGGGGTTGGGAAACTCTGGCTGACGGGTATCTGTAGAGGTGCTCTCTGGAAAGTAGATGCTGCTACAGTCACTGCAATTAAGAAATACAACAAAAAGATTTAATGGTTATACTTTACTTAACTCTGAATGTTTATCAAAGATGAAATAAGTCCTTGCTTGACTACATTCTGATGGTGTTTTTTTTTAAATTGCTAAGTCAAATAATAAAATCAAGTTTTTACAGTTTTCTGATTATTGCTTTTTTGGCATCATTGCTGTATGAGACTAGCATACCTTGTGTTGAAATAGGAAACAGGGGTCGTGATGGCCGGACACTTGGTGTTCTCATTACTGGCATGTTAGGAAAAGCTGGTGAAGGTCCGCGTAAGTTAGGAGATGGAATTACACCTGGAACAGTACACAACTATCAATAACACTAGTCAAACAGGATAAAAACAGCAGCTGACAGGTAACATCACTGAAACAACTAAAATACTGATAGGTTATCTAAGTGAAATAGCTGGACCAATGACAGGTAATGCAAGTGAAACAACTAAAATACAACAGGTAATGTCCCTGGAACAACTAGAACAAAAACAGGTTATACAAGTGAAACAACAAGAACAATTGGGTTGGCACAAGGAATCAGAGCCTATTTATTTTACCTATTGTGATGACCAGAATATGATACACTCATGTCAACCTCTTGTTTTGTACTGACCTCTCTGTTGGTGTTGAATGCTTCCAGTAACCTGGGGAGGCATGCCAAGTCGAGCAGGTGCAATATTGCCCAGCTGGTCTCCTCTTTGTGGGACTGATTGAGAGTGCACACCCCTTGCATGTCCCAGTAATGGTCCCCTTGGACGATGAAGTTGTGGCTGAAGTCCCCTTGGAGGGGTTGGTGGAGTCTGAGCACCCCTTACAAGACCGGCTGCTAATTGAGCACGAAACCCCATTGGAATGGCTGATTGGGTTGATGGTCCTCTTGGAAGGCCAAATTGATTGCTTGGGCTTCTAAGGGGAGGAGCTTGTGACCTCGACACTGCTGGTTGTTGAGGAGTGACCTTATCCAATTCACCCAGTCCCGGGATACTGACAGGAGGTCGCGTTTGTTTAAGGAGTTGTTGTGCAGTTATCCGAGCTTGCTGCACAGCCAACTTGTCTTTTACCACAGATTGTAAGGAGGGTGGTAAGTCTTTAGTGGAAACCTCTGTCAGGGTCTCTATGGCCTTTAACTGTGCTGCCAAGGTCGCAGAATCATTTGTAGTGTTCGATCCTTTTTCTGAGGAACCAGCCTGCTTACTGAAGGTTTCCTCAGCAGCCTTTACTGCTTGCACGGCTACTGACAGAATCGGGCCAGAGACCAACGATGATGTTGACATAGTGACTGATGATGATTTATGCTGCGATTGGGATGCAAGTAGCGTACTGGGTGCTTGGGATGTAGATTGTCCTCCTGTAACGAATGAAAACAGCAAGGTTTTTTTGCAAGTACATCACAGGCCTTTGAAAATGAATATATGGTATGTCTCTAATTAAAAACCAATAGAACCCATCAAGCTTGTATCATCTTTTTGTTTCTTTATAAATCAATCAATAGCAATACATAAAACTGACCCTTTGCCATGCCTACCTATCTTATGTCCTGAAGAACCCTATATAAAACTTACTTCTGTAAATTTTATACTCTGATCCCTTGGTATAGCAATGTTCTTAACATTACAATAGTATGCATTCATTATTATAATAAGTGATATATTATATACCATATACTTTTCCTTTAAAGTAAACTGAACTTGTCAAAGGGATGGGATGGGGGCCAAGTGGCGTCTAACATTTTGCTACCACTAGCACTGAGTCGCGGGTTTGAGACCTACATGGGGCAGTCGCCAGGTACTGGTACCAGGTCGATGGTTTTTCTCCAGGAACTCCGGCTTTCCTCCACCACCAAAATCTGGCATGTCCTTTAATGACCATAGCTGTTAATAGGACATAAAACACAAACAAACCAAACCAAATCAAAGGGATGGTGGGTGTCAAAATTTGATAATCAAAATAATTTAATATAGTTTACCCTGGGCCTCCTCCAGGCGGGCCTTCTTTGCAGCCTCCTTTGCTGCCTTCCTCTCTAAGGCTTTGCGTTTTTCTGCTTTGAATCTGGCCATAGGTGGTGGCTTGACTGGCTGCTGACTTTCCGATGACTGTCCAGATTGTACCTCCCCACTAGGATTATAAAAATCACATACATCACACAAATACCATACCTTACGAAGTAATTTCTATATAAAATTGCATAGTTTTGTCATTGCATTAACCACTGAAAGATTTTCAGTGATGCTTTTATGATTCATTACAGTAAATCTAGACAGTTCATTTCCCAGTTATATTCTACTTCAAAATACATTACCTGCTTTGCTTTTTTCTTTTTTTTTACCATCCACTAAAGGACTTTAACACTAAATGCTATTTACCATGCTACATTTTTTATTATTTTTTTAAATTGTTTTGCGTTTACAAAAGAAATTATCAACACTTTGTTCCATTCCGTAGCGATAATTCCACAGTTAATTGTGTTCTTGTGTGGTGAGCATAGTACAGTGAAATCTATATTAGTAATCACTTGTCTATGAAACTCATCTGATAATAAAGACCACCTAAATAACACAGGTGCAGTGGATAATGGACTTGCCTTTCACCAAGGCATCTGGGGTTTGAGACCCCGATTGCAAATGAAAAGGTATTGGGTCCCCTGCCCAACCATGTGGGCTTTCTCTGGGTATTCTGGTCTGCAGGGTGATTAATATAAGTTGATGGAACTTGTTTCAAAATTGTTTTAAAATACATTTGTAGATAAATTTAACATCCTTAATGTTGTTTTATTTGTAATAACGACCTGTGTATATTTGCTCTATCCCTTGGAGAGTCTTTATAGAAAAGTTTCACTGTATATCTATATTGTAGTAGAATTCATCCCTCCTAAAGCTGTGGGCTCCTGTCAGCTACAGACTTGGGTACTCTCCTCACACTGTACATTAGCTATAGGTAGCTAGTCCCGTTCCTCATTTCAAAAGCAGGTTGGTAGATCGTTCAGTTGGTGGTTTTAAATTGCTAAGTCCCTTGATCAGTTAATGTCAATTAAATCGTCAGAGCTACTCTATAATTTCATTTTTTGAAAAAAGTGATATCTTGCCTCCATTTCTATTGATGTGATTGACCACATATTACAATAAACCTGGAAACTTGAGGAAAGCTGGTTTCTTTAATGACCTATATGTACATCTTGATGATTCAACAAAACTTAAGTAGCAATTAATCTGTATACGCGTGGTTGTCTTGAAAACACAATACCTTTCATGATTTAAAATTTAAGTGTAAAGTACCCTATCCGTATTCAGCTGTTATAGTCAGTTTTTATCAACCTGATTTTTTTTATCAACTACCCTAACCCCCAAAATCTCAGCAGCTGTGTTTATGAAGTTTTCGGATAAAACTGTAATTTCAGAAATTGAGTTTAGATACTAAGAAGGCTCCTCTGTATTCAGTTGTTCACCTGTAATTGTTCACCCTACCTCCTTTTTGACATTGTGTGCTAGTAACATGGAATAGGCAGGTCATTGCAAAGTCTTACTTCAGTATTTTTACGTAAACTTTGGTAAGAAAGATTTCTTTTTGGTAGGGTGATAGTCTTGGCAGTTCAAGCTTTGGTATCAAGATAGAGCAAGTTCAGTGTTATTCAGTAACTTTAGCAGCATAGAGTGGTTACATACTTTGTGTCCAGAGACGGCAGGTTCAGTGATATTCAGTAACTTTAACAGCATAGAGTGATTACAGACTTTGTATCCAGCGACGGCAGGTTAAGTGGTATTCAGTAACTTTAACAGCATAGAGTGATTACAGACTTTGTATCCAGCGACGGCAGGTTAAGTGGTATTCAGTAACTTTAACAGCATTGACTGGTTTCAGACTTTGTATCCAGAGACGGCAGGTTTAGTGATATTCAGTAGCTTTTACAGGATTGAATGGTTCCAGACTTTGTATCCAGAGACGACAGGTTCAGTGTTATTCAGTATCTTTAACAGCATTGAATGGTTCCAGACTTTGTATCCAGAGACGGCAGGTTCCGTGTTATTCAGGAACTTTAACAGCATTGAATGGTCACAGACTTTGTATCCAGAGACGGGAGGGTCAGGGTTATTTAGTAACTTTAACAGCATTGAATGGTTACAGACTTCGTATCCAGAGACGGCAGGTTCCGTGTTATTCAGGAACTTTAACAGCATTGAATGGTCACAGACTTTGTATCCAGAGACTTCAGGTTCATGGTTATTCAGTAACTTTAACAGGATTGAATGGGTTCAGACTTTGTATCCAGAGACAGCCGGTTCAGTGTTATTCAGTATCTTTAACAGCATAGAGTGGTTGCAGATTTGGTATCCAGAGAGGGCATTGTCAGTGTTATTCAGTAACTTTAACGGCATAGAGTGGTTACAGACTTTGTGACCAGAGACGGCAGGTTCAGTGTTATTTAGTAACTTTAACAGCATAGAGCGATTACAGACTTTGTATCCAGCGACGGCAGGTTAAGTGGTATTCAGTAACTTTAACAGCATAGAGTGGTTGCAGATTTGGTATCCAGAGACGGCCGGTTCAGTGGTATTCAGTAACTTTAACAGCATAAAGTGATTACAGATTTGGTATCCAGAGACGGCCGGTTCAGGGTTATTCAGTATCTTTAACAGCATAGAGTGGTTGCAGATTTGGTAGCCAGAGAGGGCAGGGTCAGTGTCATTCAGTAACTTAAACACCATAGCTACTCCTAGCAATAATGGCATTCTAAAATTGTTGCTGGATTCCCCTACATAAGATGGTATCCTGTCACCAGTTGTTGGCTATTCACGCCATTTGCAGTATTCTGACAGTGTTGCTGGACTGGGGACTGTATTCTGACAGTGTTGCTGGACTGTGTACTGTATTCTGACAGTGTTGCTGGACTGGGGACTGTATTCTGACAGTGTTGCGGGACTGTGGACTGTATTCTGACAGTTTTGCTGGATTGTATCCAGAGACGGCAGGTTTAGTGTTATTCAGTAACTTTAACAACATGGAATGGTTACAGACTTTGTATCCAGAGACGGCAGGGTTAGTGATATTCAGTAACTTTAACAGCATAGAGTTGTTGCAGATTTGGTATCCAGAGAGGGCATTGTCAGTGTTATTCAGTAACTTAAACACCATAGCTACTCCTACCAATAATAGCATTCTAAAATTGTTGCTGGATTCCCCTACATAAGATGGTATCCTGTCACCAGTTGTTGGCTATTCACGCCATTTGCAGTATTCTGACAGTGTTGCTGGACTTGTCCAGTATTCTGAGTGTTGCTGGACTGTATTCTGACAGTTTTGCTGGATTGTATCCAGAGACGGCAGGTTTAGTGATATTCAGTAACTTTTACAGGATTGAATGGTTCCAGACTTTGTATCCAGAGACGGCGGGTTCAGTGGTATTTAGTAACTTTAACAGCATAGAGTGGTTGCAGATTTGGTATCCAGAGAGGGCATTGTCAGTGTTATTCAGTAACTTATACACCATAGCTACTCCTACCAATAATAGCATTCTAAAATTGTTGCTGGATTCCCCTACATAAGATGGTATCCTGTCACCAGTTGTTGGCTATTCACGCCATTTGCAGTATTCTGACAGTATCCAGAGACGGCCGGTTCAGGGTTATTCAGTATCTTTAACAGCATTGAATGGTTACAGACTTTGTATCCAGGGACGGCAGGTTCAGTGTTATTTAGTAACTTTAACAGCATTGAATGGTTCCAGACTTTGTATCCAGAGACAGCCGGGTCAGTGTTATTCAGTAACTTAAACACCATAGCTACTCCTAGCAATAATGGCATTCTAAAATTGTTGCTGGATTCCCCTACATAAGATGGTATCCTGTCACCAGTTGTTGGCTATTCACGCCATTTGCAGTATTCTGACAGTATCCAGAGACGGCCGGTTCAGTGGTATTCAGTAACTTTAACAGCATAGAGCGATTACAGACTTTGTATCCAGCGACGGCAGGTTAAGTGGTATTCAGTAACTTTAACAGCATAAAGTGATTACAGATTTGGTATCCAGAGACAGCCGGTTCAGTGTTATTCAGTAACTTTAACAGTATAGAGTGGTTGCAGATTTGGTATCCAGAGAGGGCAGGGTCAGTGTTATTCAGTAACTTTAACACCATAGCTACTCCTACCAATAATGGCATTCTAAAATTGTTGCTGGATTCCCCTACATAAGATGGTATCCTGTCACCAGTTGTTGGCTATTCACGCCATTTGCAGTATTCTGACAGTGTTGCTGGACTGTATTCTGACAGTGTTGCTGGACTGTGGACTGTATTCTGACAGTGTTGCTGGACTAGTCCAGTATTCTGACAGTGTTGCTGGACTGTATTCTGACAGTGTTGCTGGACTGTATTCTGACAGTTTTGCTGGACTGTATTCTGACAGTGTTGTTGGACTGTATTCTGACAGTGTTGCTGGACTGTGGACTGTATTCTGACAGTGTTGCTGGACTTGTCCAGTATTCTGAGTGTTGCTGGACTGTATTCTGACAGAGTTGCTGGACTGTATTCTGACAGAGTTGCTGGACTGTGGACTGTATTCTGACAGTGTTGCTGGACTGTGGACTGTATTCTGACAGTGTTGCTGGACTGTATTCTGACAGAGTTGCTGGACTGTGGACTGTATTCTGACAGAGTGGCTGGACTGTGGACTGTATTCTGACAGTGTTGCTGGACTGTGGACTGTATTCTGACAGTGTTGCTGGACTGTATTCTGACAGTGTTGCTAGACTGTATTCTGACAGTGTTGCTGGACTGTATTCTGACAGAGTTGCTGTTGAAAAAGATAGGAACCTTGTGCCATTGCAAAAATTCACTCACAACCAAATCAGTGTCAGACAAACATCATTAATACCCCTTATTCGTCTCACCAGAAATCTAAACCTAACGTTCCTTCCAAATTGTATCATGCAAATCGGATACAGACAAGGTTTTTTCCACATACTATATTCATATTGGGAAGTTTAAGGTCTTTCAATAACCTCTCCCACGTCTGATTGGTCCTTTTCACATCCTCTCCTACTTTTGATTGGTCCTTTCTACATATTCGCTCACTCTGATTGGTCCTTTCAAAATCCTCTCCCACTTCTGATTGGTCTTTTTTACATTCTCTTCAACTCTGATTGGCCCTTTTCACATCCTCTTAGACTTGATATTGGACCCATCACATTCTTCAACATTTCCTATTCTACCTCTTTCAATTCTGATTGATCTTTTCCATATGCTCTTCATTTTCAGATTGGTCAACCATATGCTCTTTTCCTTCTGATTGGTCCATCCATAGGTTATCCCTATTCTGATTGGCCCTTTTCAGATTCGTTTACACTTTTGCTTGGCCATTTTCCTATCATGACATGCTCTTTCAATTCTAATTGGTCCTTTCCATATGCTTTCCTTATTCTGATTGGTCCCTTTCACAAGTTATTCAACATTTGATCGTTTTTTCATATGCTCTGCTTTACCGTTTTTGTGGTCTTTTTTTTCAGGCTCTCTGCTCTTCTACAGTCAAGCGAGTTGGTTTTACATGCCCTAAACTGTAAGCAAGCTCAACTCATCTTTCCACCTGGTGACCTAATATGATTGATTTTAGTCAGTAGAGTGTCCATATTTAGATATGGCCTTTGTTTGTATCAGATCTAAATAAAAAAAGACATTTCTAGGTATCCTGAAACTGATTATCAAGGTGTATTCTCTCCTTTTTGCAGTTCAGTTTTCTTCAGATTGGACCGCTTCTAAACCTCTTCCAATATCTGGCAGTTGTTGAAACTTGATTTCTTGTATAATTCTGCCTTACTGAGACAGAATAAGATGCCTTCCTATATTGTTTTACTGGCTTTAGGAAAAATAACTGTGTTTGGCACAGCAAAAGTACATATCATTGAGCTGGAAATTTTGATGGGAGGCTTTGATGGGTCAATTCATAAACAAACTTGTAGGCTGGCTAATACCAGTTTGCATTCTTTGATAAGATCTTCGAAAGTTTGGATTCAAAATGACACGTGATACTTTGTCTGATTGTAGCAGATCTAGCCTGGGGTGACCACTGGTGATCAGGTAGCTCCCACTAGAGTTGGAGGTCATGGGATGAAGACTTTGTTGAAGGAGGGAGAAATGTAGCGGGTCAGGGTAGGGTGATCACCAATGACCATGTAACTCGCTTAGAGCGTTCCTTTAAGTTGGGAGGTCCCAGGTGTGACGCCAGGTCTGGCTATTGCAATTTTCCTTTTCCTGTTCCAAACTTGATAATTGTCTTTATCCCATCATAAAGCTTAAATCTCTTCCTTTGATTGTTAACACTAAATATGTAAATTTCTCCTGATGGTATCACATCATTTTTGTATAAATCATATATCATATACTTGAGAGGTAACTTCCATGTTTCTCCTCTACTTCACAGGTAACTTCCATGTTTCTCCTATACTTCACAGGTAACTTCCATGTTTCTCCTCCACTTCACAGGTAACTTCCATGCTTCTCCTATACTTCACAGGTAACTTCCATGTAACACCATTGTTGCACATAATAACCAATGGGATGATTCTATCTCATGCTACAAACAATTTTCCTTTTTTCTTTGTTTTATCATTGGAGAAAATAATTGTCATGTTTAGAACCATTCTTGTTTTTCTTTTATGAAATCTTGTTGTGAGTATAAGTGTGCTATTAATATATTGATAGAACAGTTATATGTACACATGGAACAATCAACCTTTTGTTCTTGACAAACTTTAAGTGGGATAGTGGGGGATAGAGGTGCAGAACACTCTTTGTGGGACCTTTGACACTGAGAAATAGGTTGAATCTTTTCTTCATAAAATTGATCATCGTTTCAAAATGGTCCGTATTATTTTCCATTAAAGCTGGAATTTCCTGTAATTTAATTTACCATCCATCAAATTTGAAAATTTCAAAGAAACTAATGTAAATATAAACATGTGCTCAAAATGAAATTTTAAATGTTTTAAAATATTGGTATAGAAAAAAATATATGTAAATGACTTTGAATTGTGTGTTTTGATAGGTAATCTTTTCCTGTGCTTTCCAGAAATGAAGGAAAGGAAACTGTGAACTGGAAAAAATCTTTCCAGGCTAAGTGACCGATGGAGTTGTATTGTCCTCAGCTTCTGGATGTAACTGAGATTACACATCAGCTTGGACATGGAGATCATACACATTCCCTAGGCAATCAAACATGTGACTAAAGACTCTCAGCTAACAGGGGACACGAGACTAGACGTCTCTGGAACAATGCTGAGTGTGGATGAGTGTCTGTCCATGTTGATCTTCTTTAAACCATTACCTCTTCCCCACAGTTGATCCTGAACCTTTCTCTGTCTCATTCTGAAAGTAAAATCAAGAAGTTATACAATTTTTGGCCATTTTCACAATCTTGAATAATTGTCTCCATTCAACATCAGTGTTTTATGCCAATGTATAAAAGGTCAAGTATGGGTGAGGTGAAGGTTCACCTCTGTCATAACTATATCATATTTCCTATATTATTTCACAATGATTTGACATGCTGATATCCAAGACAAAACTGTGCCTTTGTCAGTAAAGATGAATTCTGAAAAACAAACTGACACAATCAACTGTTGAGAAGAAATACAAAGTGAAATGTAACCTCGATTGACAGACAGATGTACAGTCATATGTATAGAAACATGCACAAGATGGAATATAATGGAAATAAAAACATTGTGAGCTGCGTCATAGACGGTCACTCAAGTGAAACTGGGAGTAACATTTTATCACAATGTATAACTTTATCAAATTTGTTATAAAAAGATGAAAAAGCAAGTAAATTATTCTCTAGATAAACTTTGGTATCAAAATGGACCATATTACTACGGCGGAACATGATAACTGATTTCAGTATGCTATAGTCCATCTTCCTGAGATACTTAAGTAGAGCAAGATTGATTTATGCCAGTAAAATAGCAGTTGGTAACAAAAAGGAACAAAGATCCACAACTCTCTATATGTAAAAGTGGGTATATAGACAAAATTCGGTTTGTGAAGATCTGCCTTTCAAAGACACAAAAGTACAACATTTTTGGTAAGCATAAGAGAAAGAGCATGGAAGTTACACTTCTGACGAACTTTGGTGTAAAGTATAAACAGAGAGTCATAACTTTGTTAAGTTACACAGAAAGTTCTGTTACATTAACTCAGTAGACCTTTTTTCTGCATGGAATATTTTTACCATGTACCACCAAGATATGTCTATAAACAAAGGCAGATGAGCCATGACAAGGAAAAGACAAAGGATGGACTGTGCAAGGTATACCAAAATAAGATCAACACAATGGTTGCTTAAAAGTTACTTTTTAATTTGTAAATTACTGTATTACAAGTAAATCATCAACAAAAACAAATGATGCATACGTAAGGTTTTGTAAAATGTACTTTTATTATTTCCTTTGTTTTATTCATTTTGTTACATCAATCTTAAGTAAAGCAAACTTAAGTAGGATTACCCCATCATATAAATCCAGGTGTGACAGGTAACCACCATCACAATCAAGGTGTGATAAGTAGGTCTATTCCACCATTGAAATCCATGTGTGACAGGTAACCACCTTCACAATCCAGGTGTGATAAATAGTACTACCACCATTGAAATCCAGGTGTGACAAAATACTGACATCAAAATCCAGGTGTGACAGAACAACATCATTATCTAGGTACCATATAATGCAGGATGCAATCACAGTCCAGGTGTCATAGACAGACAATATGACAATGTAGGTGGCATGTATTGGAGGGCATCATCACAGTTCAGGTGTCATCGACAGGACAATAAGGTACCATATAATGCAGGATGCAATCACAGTCCAGGTGTCATAGACAGACAATATGACAATGTAGGTGGTATATATTGGAGGGCGTCCTCACAGTTCAGGTGTCATCGACAGGGCAATATGACAATGTAGGTGGCATGTATTGGAGGGCGTCATCACAGTTCAGGTGTCATCGACAGACAATATGACAATGTAGGTGGCATGTATTGGAGGGCGTCATAATAGTTCAGGTGTCATAGACAGACAATATGACAATGTAGGTGCTATATATTGGAGGGCGTCATCACAGTTCAGGTGTCATAGACAGACAATATGACAATGTAGGTGCTATATATTGGAGGGCGTCATCACAGTTCAGGTGTCATTGACAGACAATATGACAATGTAGGTGGCATGTATTGGAGGGAGTCATCACAGTCCAGGTGTCATCGACAGGACAATATGACAATGTAAGTGGTATATATTGGAGGGTGCCATCACAGTTCAGGTGTCATAGACAGACAATATGACAATGTAGGTGGCATGTATTGGAGGGCGTCATCACAGTCCAGGTGTCATCGACAGGACAATATGACAATGTAGGTGGTATATATTGGAGGGCGTCATCACAGTTCAGGTGTCATAGACAGACAATATGACAATGTAGGTGGCATGTATTGGAGGGCGTCATCACAGTTCAGGGGTCATGGACAGACAATATGACAATGTAGGTGGCATGTATTGGAGGGCCTCATCACAGTTCAGGGGTCATAGACAGACAATATGACAATGTAGGTGGAATATATTGGAGGGCGTCATCATAGTTCAGGTGTCATAGACAGACAATATGACAAGGGAGGTGGCATGTATTGGAGGGCGACATCACAGTTCAGGGGTCATAGACAAACAATATGACAATGTAGGTGGTATAAATTGGAGGGCGTCATCACAGTTCAGGTGTCATAGACAGACAATATGACACTGTAGGTGGCATGTATTGGAGGGCGGCATCACAGTTCAGGTGTCATCGACAGGCAATATGACAATGTAGGTGGCATGAATTGGAGGGCGTCATCACAGTTCAGGAGACATCGACAGGACAATATGACACTGTAGGTGGTATATATTGGAGGGCGTCATCACAGTTCAGGTGTCAGTGACAGGACAATATGACAATGTAGGTGGAATATATTGGAGGGCGTCATCACAGTTCAGGTGTCATCGACAGGACAATATGACAATGTAGGTGGCATGTATTGGAGGGCGTCATCACAGTCCAGGTGTCATCGACAGGAAAATATGACAATGTAGGTGGCATGTATTGGAGGGCGTCATCACAGTTCAAGGGTCATGGACAGGATATCACCACAATATATGTTTTATACATCAGAGGGTGTCACCATCACAATGTTGGTGTCATTCATCAGAGGGCATCACCATCACAATGTTGGTGTCATACATCAGAGGGCGTCACCATCACAATGTTGGTGTCATACATCAGAGGGCATCATCACAGTTCAAGGGTCATGGACAGGATATCACCACAATATATGTGTCATACATCAGAGGGCGTCACCATCACTATGTTGGTGTCATACATCAAAGGGCATCACCATCACAATGTTGGTGTCATACATCAGAGGGCGTCACCATCACAATGTTCGTGTCATACATCAGAGGGTGTCACCATCACAATGTTGGTGTCATACATTAGAGGGCGTCACCATCAAAATGTTGGTGTCATATATCAGAGGGCGTCATCACAGTTCAGGTTTCATAGATTTGAGGATGCCATCATTATCCAGGGGTCATAGATAGCTTTATTCGGATGCCATCACAGTTCAGGTATGATTAAACAGGATTATTAAATCAAAATCCAGGTGAAATTGATAGGACACCATCACAGTCCAGGAAGGTAGCAAACTTGTTGTTTTAAGCAGACACCTACAGGTGTTTCTGGTCCAGGACAATGTCTCCTTGTCCATATTGTTTAATTGGTCGTTCTTCATTTCACTTCAAACAATGCACAAGAGCTAATAAGGCCGAACTATCTCTCTCATAACTAATAACTTCTTATGGATCACAATCAAAGCTTAGTTTGAGATTTAAAGTTTGTATTTAGGTTGTAAAAAGGTTTGCTTAATGTTGTGAATAAGATATTCCATTCAGGTAGCAGTGTACAGTAGAAATGGCTTGACCCTAAAAATAAATGGCATGTCTCAAATAAACATGGATTGTGAATTCAACCCGCACAACACACCTACATATATATACATATTTATAAACTACATTTTGATTTCATTTTGCTTAAAAGACTGATTTTTTTTTCAAACACTGTTTTCCCCATATTTGGGACTTGTGAAAACTATGGTTACCACATCAAAAAACACCAAAATATGCACAAAAAAAAAAATTTAACGCAAAATTTGACCCCCGCAAGTAGTATTTTTCTCCTTAAAAACAGTCTGAAATTAAATATCGCCTACTCAGTTACAGAACTACTCACGTTTTAGCATGGGTCATTCCAGTTGATTTTTCACAATATTTACACATGTGCCGAGCACAAAAATAGACTACATGAAAAGCTAGCTTTTGTTGTGTAGACACAGATTTGTAAATGCCCATAACTGTAGTCTCAAACCAAATTCAAATATATTTTTTGGAAAAATTATGAAGCCCACAGTCCACTTCATCATGTATATGTATCATGTCCTTCTCAGTTCCACTGATGAACTTTTCAATATTAATGTCTGTGCTCAAAGCTACTGGACATGGGTATATAAAGCTCTGAAACTGACTTTACCTATGACTGCCATGGAAACTTACAGGTACATTAATATAAATACAATGATTCTTATCCATAACTGTTTTAGTTCCATTTGACAGCATAACTTGTGATAGACATTGACTGTAGTATTCAGGGATAGTTTCACCTTCCATTGTCATTGCTCATTTCAACTTCCATTGTCATTGCTCATTTCATCTTTCATTGGAATTGCTCATTTCGCCTTCCATTGTCATAGCTCATTTCATCTTCCATTGTCATTGCTCGGTTCCTATTCCATTGTCATTGCTCATTTCACCTTCCAATGTCATTGCTCATTTCATCTTTCATTGTAATTGCTCATTTCGCCTTCCACTGTCATTGCTCATTTCATCTTCCATTGTCCTTGCTCATTTCAACTTCCGTTGTCATTGCTCATTTCACCTTCCATTGTGATTGCTCATTTCATCTTCCATTGTCATGGCTCATTTCATCTTCCATTGTCATTGCTCATTTCAACTTCCATTGTCATTGCTCATTTCATCTTTCATTGTAATTGCTCATTTCGCCTTCCATTGTAATTGCTCATTTCATCTTCCATTGTCATTGCTCGGTTCCTATTCCATTGTCATTGCTCATTTCACCTTCCAATGTCATTGCTCATTTCATCTTTCATTGTAATTGCTCATTTCGCCTTCCATTGTAATTGCTCATTTCATCTTCCATTGTCATGGCTCATTTCATCTTCCATTGTCATTGCTCAGTTCATCTTCCATTGTCATTGCTCATTTCCCCTTCCATTGTCATTGCTCATTTCATCTTTCATTGTAATTGCTCATTTCGCCTTCCACTGTCATTGCTCATTTCATCTTCCATTGACATTGCTCATTTCACCTTCCATTGTCAGTGCTCATTTCACCTTCCATTGTCATTGCACATTTCACCTTCCATTGTCATTGCTCATTTCTCCTTCCATTGTCATTGCTCATTTCACCTTTATTGTCATTGCTCATTTCATTTTCCATTGTCATCGCTCATTTCACCTTCCATTGTCATTGCACATTTCACCTTCCATTGTCATTGCTCATTTCACCTTCCAATGTCATTGCTCATTTCATCTTTCATTGTAATTGCTCATTTCGCCGTCCATTGTCATAGCTCATTTCATCTTCCATTGTCATTGCTCCTTTCATCTTCCATTGTCATTGCTCATTTCATCTTTCATTGTAATTGCTCATTTCGCCGTCCATTGTCATAGCTCATTTCATCTTCCATTGTCATTGCTCAGTTCATCTTCCATTGTCATTGCTCATTTGATCTTCCATTGTCATTGCTCATTTCAACTTCCATTGTCATTGCTCATTTCACCTTCCATTGTGATTGCTCATTTCATCTTCCATTGTCATGGCTCATTTCATCTTCCATTGTCATTGCTCAGTTCATCTTCCATTGTCATTGCTCATTTCCCCTTCCATTGTCATTGCTCATTTCATCTTTCATTGTAATTGCTCATTTCGCCTTCATTGTCATTGCTCATTTCATCTTCCATTGTCATTGCTCCTTTCATCTTCCATTGTCATTGCTCATTTCAACTTCCATTGTCATTGCTCATTTCACCTTCCAATGTCATTGCTCATTTCATCTTTCATTGGAATTGCTCATTTCGCCTTCCATTGTCATTGCTCACTTCATCTTCCATTGTCATTGCTCATTTCAACTTCCATTGTCATTGCTCATTTCATCTTTCATTGTAATTGCTCATTTCACCTTCCATTGTCATTGCTCATTTCACCTTCTATTGTCATTTCTCATTTCATCTTCTGTTGTTATTGCTCATTTCATCTTCCATTGTAAATGTTTATTTCATCTTCCATTGTAAATGTTGATTTCATCTTCCACTGTCAATGATCATTTCATTTGTTAGTTCACTTTCCATTGTAAACGTTCATTTCATCTTCCATTGTCAAAGATCATTTCATCTTCAATTGTCAAGGTCCATTTCATTTGTTTGTTCACCTTCCATTGTAAATGTTCATTTCACCTTCCATTGTAAATGTTTATTTCATCTTCCATTGTCAATGTCCATTTCATTTGTTTGTTCACCTTCCATTGCAAATGTTCATTTCACCTTCCATTGTAAACGTTCATTTCACCTTCCAATGTAAATGTTTATTACATCTTCCATTGTCAAAGATCATTTCATCTTCATTGTCAAAGATCATTTCATCTTCATTGTCAAAGATCATTTCATCTTCCATTGTCAATGTCCATTAGTTTGTTTGTTCACCTTCCATTGTAAATGTTCATCTCACCTTCCATTGTTAACGTTTGTTTCACTTTCCATTGTAAACGTTCATTTCACCTTCCATTGTAAATGTTGATTTCATCTTCCATTGTCAAAGATCATTTCATCTTCCATTTTCAATGTCCATTTCATTTGTTTGTTCACCTTCCATTGTAAATGTTCATTTCACCTTCCATTGTAAATGTTTATTTCAATCTTCAATTGTCAATGATCATTTCATCTTTCACTGAAGATGTTCGTGTCTTTTTCCCTTTGTATGATAATGTTCACATCCCCCCTTTGACAGTTGCTGCTGTATACTGACATTGTTCGTTTCATTTTTCAGTGACAATGTTTATGTCCTCTCAAGATTGAAAATTTCAGTTCAGCTCTTCCATTTCTGTTTTGATGAAACTTTATTTTTCATAAGTCATAACCTCGATCAAATGTATCGAGTAACATTACATTATCTGAATTTGAGAAAACATCACACAGTTTTGTATATTAAAATTAATTTTATGTTTATCACAATGTATTTCCAATATATTGATGTGGATATGTAGGCAGCAATGCTTGTGTCCACAAATATCCTATCAATCTCTAGACTAATAGTGCTCACAAAATGAAAACATTGAAATCTATGTAACATCAATAACTTTCACTTTTGAACATTTTACGAAGTAGATATTAACTTTCAGATGTATGGAGATATGAATTGGACACAAAGTGACAAGCTTAGATTGTGCCCATAAACATACAAACTGCACAAAACTAACAAAACAAAAGTTATTCAAACATCAGAAATGGGAAAATGCGGTGGGTTTTTTAAAACATCCAACTGTTATGTAGACCTGGTAGTTAAATACATCCTAATAATGATACATGGTTAAAGCTGTCTCACGAGCCCTGACAGAGCTAATTCTAGTAGTAAACAATATCAAACCATAACCACAGCAGCAGACCCAATTACAAGTCAGTCCAACACTACCGTTGATTTTGGCATTTGATCTCGGAACATCATTAATGCATTTCTCAACACAGTTTTAAAAATCAAACCACATATAGTTGAGCATACAGGTGATCACCCACAATACACAGGTATAGGTAGAATGGAAATAAATTTAATGTCTCTGACAACTTAATAATATCTTTAATTTCATTGGACATTTCTGTCCAGTAAGAACCTCTGATTGTAACATTTTGGTTCATCAGAAGATTTTTTTTAGCCAATTTTCCAACTTCACTCAGAGGGAACTGGAAAGGGTTGTCAGGGTTACAAGTTTCATATTGTCAAAACTGGCATCCCTTGATGATATTTCAAAGTTTCATTTGGATTTCTGATCCATGTTTTTTTCAAATGATTCATAAGGAGGAAAAGGAAAGGCCATAACTGTTGCAAAATTTTGAACAGTGTTTTCTTTTTCGATATGCCCATCTTAATATGATTCTCATCACACATATCAAATCTTAAAAAACTCGATCGCTATTTGTGGTCATAAAGTTATGTAGCAGCTGGACAGATAGACAGTGAGACATCATGATATGCCTCGCCTGAGCGTCTACATAAGACCAATACTCAAATTAAAGTTTGAAGATTAAGAATTCATAGTCTTGATTTAACCTTTTTTTTCCAAAACTAATTTGATTTAATACCCTTCCAACCTTACATTTCTCTTTAAATACCCAACCACCCATCTGTTATTATCAAACTGCTTCACTTCTGCATAATTCTAAAACTGCCCTGATTATCACAAGACATCATAACAACAATTAGGCAGGTACCCTAGTTAACATGTATAAACAGATTTACTACAATGAATTAACAACAGAAAAAACAAAGAAGATACAATTCAAATGGTTTATTCACATAGCTACGATGTCTTGTAAAATCTGAAAGGTGAAACAGGTATTTATATAAAGAAACAGTAAGCTAAAGTCACTCATGGTATTCATATAACAATTCCCCAAGCTGTATGTAACATGAAATCTTACCTGTTCTGTATTCAGGTTGACTTTCTTGGCCTCTTGGATGATGGCTTGCTCCATATCTGAATTGTTGTAAAAATTGAAATACATATACCTGTATGTACAGTGAAATACATATACCTGTCTGTACAGTGAAATACATATACCTGTATGTACAGTGAAATACATATACTTGTATGTACAGTGAAATACATCTACCTGTATGTACAGTGACATACATATACCTGTATGTACAGTGACATACATATACCTGTATGTACAGTGACATACATATACCTGTATGTACAGTGATATACATATACCTGTATGTACAGTGACATACATATACTTGTATGTACAGTGAAATACATATACCTGTCTGTAAAGTGAAATACATATACCTGTATGTACAGTGAAATACATATACCTGTATGTACAGTGACATACATATACCTGAATGTACAGTGAAATACATATACTTGTATGTACAGTGAAATACATCTACCTGTATGTACAGTGACATACATATACCTGTATGTACAGTGACATACATATGCCTGTATGTACAGTGACATACATATACCTGTATGTACAGTGATATAAATATACCTGTATGTACAGTGACATACATATACCTGAATGTACAGTGAAATACATATACCTGTCTGTAAAGTGAAATAATATACCTGTATGTACAGTGAACTACATATACCTGTATGTACAGTGAAATACATATACTTGTATGTACAGTGAAATACATATACTTGTATGTACAATGAAATACATATACCTGTATGTACAGTGACATACACATACTTGTATGTACAGTGATATACATATACCTGAATGTACAGTGAAATACATATACTTGTAAGTACAATGAAATACATATACTTGTATGTACAGCGACATACATATACCTGTATCTACAGTGAAATACATATACCCGTATGTACAGTGAAATACAGATACCTGTTTGTACAATGAAATACATATCCCTGTATGTACAGTGACATCCATATACCTGTATGTACAGAGAAATACATATACCTGTATGCCAAGTGAAATACATATACCTGTCTGTAAAGTGAAATAATATACCTGTATGTACAGTGAACTACATATACCTGTATGTACAGAGAAATACATATACCTGTATGTACAGAGAAATACATATACCTGTATGCAAAGTGAAAGACATATACCTGTATGCACAGTGACATACATATACCTGTATCTACAGTGAAATACATATACCTGTATGCAAAGTGAAATACATATACCGGTATGCACAGTGAAATACATATACCTGTCTGTAAAGTGAAATAATATACCTGTATGTACAGTAACATACACATACTTGTATGTACAGTGATATAAATATACCTGAATGTACAGTGAAATACATATACTTGTATGAACAGTGAAATACATATACCCGTCTGTACAGTGAAATACATATACTTGTAAGTACAATGAAATACATATACCTGTATGCAAAGTGGAATACATATACCTGTATGCAAAGTGGAATACATATACCTGTATGCAAAGTGAAATACATATACCGGTATGCACAGTGAAATACATATACCCGTCTGTACAGTGAAATACATATACCTGTATGCACAGTGAAATACATATACCTGTTTGTACAATGAAATACATATACCTGTATGCAAAGTGAAATACATATACCTGTATGCACAGTGAAATACAACACCAACACCAATGCAGAGATAACAAATTATTTGTGGCATATATTAAATCGTATCGATAAATCACTTTTTTGTCTCCAGTTTTAATATATCTGTAAAATGCATCACAAAACTAATCAAAATGTATTCTGTTGGAACAGACAATATCCCACACAGGATAAAATGTAGTAATTTTCTGAATTCATTAAACACAATAACTTAGACAATGGTGTAACTTCACTGGAATTTTGTTTTTTGTGTCAACTTTCTACAGTTAGTTCAAATGTTATTCAGTCAGAAACGTATAGTAGATGAAAAGTTCTTACTTCAAAGTTATCACCAACTTCTAATATCGATCGACGTTAAATGTGCTTGCTGTAACGTTCTGTATTTCAGACCTACCAATGTCTCCTGTGGTGGAAGCCGCTATAGCATCTTCTGCCGCCTTCTTCAGTTTTGCCCACTCTTTCTTGGTTAGATGCCTCCTGGGTTTCTTGATGGGTCTGTTAGTAGGATTCCCCTCCTGTTTCTGTACGTTCATATCTTGAGTAATTGGCCTTTCACCTAGTTTTTGAATGGTATTTTGGGTATTTTTATTGCTGTCTTCCTCTAAGGAAAGATAAATTGATAAAATCTTAATGTCTAAACCTAATCATTACACTGCCATATCAAGAAAATTTGGGGTATAACAACCGTCCAAAAATGTTAGGTCAATCAAATCTTGAACATCAGATATATGTCAATCAGTTCCTTATCTAAGGAAACAAAGCTGAATACTGGTATATATACACATTTATGTTTAAGTAAGGGTTAGTTACACCATACCCCTACTCTACAGCTGTATACTGGTAAACAGAGGTTTCTGGATAAGCAAGAGTTTATTTACACTGTATACCTACTCTACAGCTGAAAAGTGGTTACACACTGTCAGGTTTCTAGTAACTCAGGGTTTAGTTAAACTGTATGCCTACACTATAGCTGTATACTGGTAAACAGAGGTTTCTGGATAAATAAGAGTTTAGTTAAACTGTATACCTACTCTACAGCTGGATACTGGTAAACAGAGGTTTCTGGATAAGTAAGAGTTTAGTTAAACTGTATGCCTACACTATAGCTGAATGCTGGTAAACAGAGGTTTCTGGATAAGTAAGAGTTTAGTTACACTGTATACCTACTCTACAGCTGGATACTGTAAACAGAGGTATCTGGATAAGTAAGAGTTTAGTTACACTGTACACCTACTCTACAGCTGGATACTGGAAAACAGAGGTTTCTGGATAAGTAAGAGTTTAGTTACACTGTACACCTACTCTACAGCTGGATACTGGTAAACAGAGACTTCTGGATTAGTAAGAGTTTAGTTACACTGTATACCTACTCTACAGCTGGATACTGGTAAACAGAGGTTTCTGGATAAGTAAGAGTTTAGTTACACTGTACACCTACTCTACAGCTGGATACCGGTAAACAGAGGTTTCTGGATTAGTAAGAGTTTAGTTACACTGTATACCTACTCTACAGCTGGATACTGGTAAACAGAGGTTTCTGGATAAGTAAGAGTTTAGTTACACCATACCCCTACTCTACAGATGTATACTGGTAAACAGAGGTTTCTGGTTTAGTCAGGTTTAGTTATGCTGTACACCTGCAGTCTAGTTTTCCTATTGCCATTTTTACTTATACTTATGATAGATACTGTTGAATATAAGTTCCATGTATAAGATATCTATTTGATTCTTATATGTATAAGAAAATGAAAGGCAAAAGCAAATCTTTGAAGTTAAAGCTCGGTTTCTCAGTGCTGATTACTTACCCACCTTCTCCTTGACCTCTTGTTTCTCCTGTGACTTCAACTCAACTGACTTAGGCTTCTCATTTGGGTTGTTTTTGTCTATTTGTGTACTTTAAGTGAAAACAAAATTAAAATCACAGATTAGATGTTACCAATAACACTAAAATTGTATAGTTCTCTTTTTTTCATACTCTTGAACATAACCCAGAAAACTTGCAAATGATACTTCAATGTTAATTCATTTTTCAAGCTCCCAATGCAAGAGAAAATTAACATAATTGCTAATATAGCCTACTTAATAAGAAACCAAAGGGCTAAAAAACTGAACAAGTCCAGTTATTCAATTTTTAATAATACAAAAACAGCACAATAGGTTTAAGCTTAGAATAGGCAAAATATTGAATAACTTTATCTAACATATACAATACTTGGTGCCTTTACAGTGCCTATCTAACATGTACAATACTGGGCACCTTTACAGTGCCTATCTAACATATACAATAATGGGCACCTTTACAGTGCCTCTCTTACACATACAATACTGGGCGCCTTTACGGTGCCTATCTAACATATACAATACTGGGCGCCTTTACAGTGCCTCTCTTACACATACAATACTGGGCGCCTTTACGGTGCCTATCTAACATATACAATACTGGATTGAATAACTTTATCTAACATATACAACACTTGGTGCCTTTACAGTGCCTATCTAACATGTACAATACTGGGCAACTTTACAGTGCCTATCTAACATGTACAATCCTGGGCACCTTTACAGTGCCTCTCTTACATATACAATACTGGGCACCTTTACAGTGTCTATCAAACATATACAATACTGGGCACCTTTACAGTGCCTATCTAACATATACAATACTGGGCGCCTTTACAGTTCCTATCTAACATATACAATAATGGGCACCTTTACAGTGCCTCTCTTACACATACAATACTGGGCGCCTTTACAGTGCCTATCTAACATGTACAATACTGGGCACCTTTACAGTGCCTATCTAACATATACAATACTGGGCACCTTTACAGTGCCTATCTAACACATACAATACTGGGCACCTTTACAGTGCCTATCTAACATATACAATACTGGGCACCTTTACAGTGCCTATCTAATATATACAATACTATACAAAATGGTGTATAACCAAATAAGATTATCTTAATCTATTTTTGTCCAAGGAATTAAGTTTTGTTTGCCCTATTTGGGCGTGCCCCTCTGCTCCTGAGTGGGATGGGGAACGGTCAGCAGCTAAATCTATCACTTACAAAATGTTTATTCCCTTGACCCAAGAATGCTCCATAACAAATCTAAAATCCTTTTACTTATACTGAAGAGAAGGATTTTAAGATTTCTTTTCTCCAAATCGGAAACATCCTCTCTATCCCCCTGTGCGATACACTACAAACAAAGTTAGTCCCCTTGGCCCAAGGATACTCCAGACCACAGTAGGTGAAATCACCCCTCTGATCACCACTGTGGCCCTGGGAAATGTGGAGGGGCACACCCTCCGATTTTTTACAAATGTTGAGACCCCCAAGCCCAACATTGCCCTAGATCTGAATTCAGCCATAATTCCTTCAGCTTTTCTTGACTAGTGACAATTTAAATGAAAAGCAAATAATGGACGCCACATCATAACAACTCACTTAGCCTTCAATGCCAGGTGAGATAAGAATGAATTGTACAATCTAATATAATCCAGGACAGCTGTAGCTTTGTTTAGCTTACTTACTCTTCAGTTCGTTTACGAGCAGCATCCAGTGTTGACTGTAGTAATAAAACCATATCACGGTCCTCTGCATTGTCATCTCTGAAAGAGAATTACAGAATAGAATTCCATTTCAGAAAGAAAATATTAATGTTTATTAACAGCAGTAGATAAAACATGTATAGAGTTGCCCCAGGCTATTTCCCAATTTAATTTGGTTGTGACAAAAAAAAGGGCGCAAATTAAAACCTTTTTTTTCATTCTCACCTTTTATTGGCCAATATTTCCTCGAGCTTCGATGACAGTGTCTGAAAGATACAACAAAAACATAATGGAGCTTCGATGACAGTGTCTGAAAGATATAACAAAAACATAATGGAGTTTCGATGACAGTGTCTGAAAGATATAACAAAAACATGATGGAAAGCGAATAAGGAAAAGAATAGGAATAATCTAGGTAAAAAATATTTATAATTTTTTCTTTAGTAAAAAATCAACTGTCTAGTATGGATTAAACTGTTATGGTTTACAACATTTCAGAGATTGTGCATGTCAAACTGATTTCCTTTCTTGTTATTCTATACTCTCTTTACTCTGGTCAGCAAGTCGTCACACAAACGATGACTTTACTCTGGTCAGCAAGTCGTCACACGAACAATGACTTTACTCTGGTCACCAAGTCGTCACACAAACAATGACCTGCTAAGTATTTGAATCCTATTATATGATTATGTGTGGAGTAACCCACATTTGTAATAGGTTTTTGGGGTAATAATTAATAAAGGAATATTTGTACGTGATTTAGAAGTATTTCTATGAGCAACTTGCAGAATTGAGCAAGAGATTTAATATTGTTAATCTGTGTTACATTTTATTCTGACAGAGGCTGTTTACCTTGTTTATCAATATTGTGAAGAGTGAAAGCAATCTACAACTTAAAGATCAATAAGCCTGAACTATGAAAGTAAACTATGAGATGGTGTCATGTTCTACTGTCTCATGTTGATAACAAAGTGACTACTGAACCTTATTTGGGAGCAAATGACTATATAAAAATTGCCCATGTTTAATAGAAAAATCAATGTACTCTAGTGGACTCTTTCCATCACTACTTCATTTCCTACCTTGATGAGCCCTGCTGTTTCACTCTGCTTTTCAGTGTTTCCTGAAATAATTGCATGCACATATTTTACAAATAAGTTGTTTTAATTAAAATATGTAAATGATTTTTTTTCTCCATAATTGATTGCTAATAAACAGACTTGATTCTTATTGAAAAAGCATATTTAGAAGAGTTTATGAGATAAGTTTATTCAACAAGAAATGATGGAAAAGACACACAGGTGCTGACCACTTACAACGTTAAATGCATGCAAGTTGTCAATAACTGTTCTTACCTGTAGGTATAGAACCTTTGCCAACACCTTTAGACATCGTCTCTAAGTTAGAGGTTGAAGATTTTGCTCCAGAACCCCATTGTGATGTAGGCATAGGAGCACCTTTGCCAGCCATTTGTGATGTAGGCATAGGAGCTGATTTGCTAGTCAATTGTGATGTAGGTCTAGAAGGAACTTTGCCTGCTAATTGTGATGTTGGTTTCAAATTCTGTTTGCCAGTCGATTGTGATGTGGGTATAGAAGCTGGTTTGATGGGCGACTCACTGGTAGATATAGAAGCTGGTTTGATGGGCGACTCACTGGTAGATATAGAAGCTGGTTTGATGGGCGACTCACTGGTAGATTTAGAAGGTAGTTTCGGTGGCAGTTTGTTAACTGGATTCTGAGATCCTGAAGTTTTTAGATTCCTGCCCTGAACCTGACCAGTACTAGATACATCCGGTTTTGGAGGTTTTGAGTTTCTATTACTGGGCGACTTTAATTCGAGAACCCTTGTCTCAGTCTCCTTCCTGGACCTGTGTGATACTCTGGTTTCTTCCTTATTAGATTTTCTTTGGCCACTATCTGATCTTGATCCAGAACCCTCCCGTCTGACAGGTCCGCTACTACTGCTAGTGTGTTTGCCTGTTTGACCTGCTTCAATAAAATATGAAATATTTAACAATTACCTCATATAATATATGTAATATATATAACATATATAATATATACTATTTGCCTTCATTTTAGTTACAGTAACTTTAACATCTGTATTTATATTCTAGTTTTTATCATTTGCACAAAAACTGCACGTATAACATATAAGCAACAAGATGGATTGTATACCTGATGACTTTAGTGATGTCAACAAGACTACAGTACATACCTGATGTAGATGACAGGTATGGAATTCCTTGTCTACAAGGTAGTACTTACCAGAAGAAGCAGCACCTTTTTGTGTCCTACTGGTCGTGGAAGATGACTGATCATGCACCTGATCTTTCTCCCTATTTAGAAATTTTATAAATTATATTATAATTAAAGGTTTACTTTCAATACATAAAAACAGTTTCTACAATTTTTTGTGATGCTGCTGATGCTTTCCCACAAAAATTCTTCTGTAGAATAGAAATAAGAAATAAAGTAAACATGTAGTCAGACTTTGTCATAATTTCTTTTGATATAAACATAAGAGGCCCAGAGAGCCTGTATCACAGCTGATTCTCAGACCCAATGGGAGCTACTCTCTTTATACAACAGGTAACTCGGGGGTAAGACACATCCTCCATTTTTTTCAATTGTGAGTCCCTTTCACCAAACAATGCTTCAGATCAAATTTAGTCAAATTTAGCTAGGTACTTCTGGACCAGCAGGATTTCAAAGAAATAGTTGAAAGATGGATGAACAGATGACAGATTCTGCAGTAAAGGGTAAGCTAGCTTGTCTGTGGACAGCCGGGGCAATATATTATTTCATATAAATGATATAGATAATTTATCAAATTGTTACATGAACGATTAATCATGGAAGTTCTTTAGGTTGTTAGGACAGTAATTGTTACCTAATTCTGGACTGCATCACATCCAAAGCTGACTTCAGTAATGATAGCATGGCTGTGTCATTTTTTGATCCTTTTTTCCTATTAAATGTAATACATGTATCTCATAAAGTTAATTGAGTAATTACGTTCAGAATATTTTAATTGAGTTACACTTTGCATGAGATTTATGAAACAAGTCTACAACTTTTCATTTTAGCCAGGCTAAAACAAGCTAAGAAGTTTCATAACCCTTAATATGTAATAGAAATATATTCAATATCCATTTCATCACATTATGTGCAAATGTTCACAAAACATGTGCTTTCTCTGACGATCAGCTAGTACTCAATGACACTATTAATAATAATTTGAGGTTCTTATATACCGCTTTATCACAACCTAGTTCGTAGGTCGTCTCAAAGCAGTTCACAAATTATTATCCGTGGTTATAGGGCCTTTTGCAACCAGCCAATACCTTTCTCAACTCCCTAGGGAGCATACAGGCGGAGCTGCCATTTCGGCGCTAACAGCTAGCTAGCATCCAACAGTTCTAGCACTGCCCAACCACCAATTTAAAGCTGAGTTGACTGGAACAAGCGGAGTAAAGTATCTTGCTCAAAGATACAACACAGTGCCGTGCCTCAAACCCGCAACCCTTCAGTCACGAGCCCAGCGTCCTACCACTAGGCTACCGTGCCTCCTATATTGATGTTACATATCTATTATCTTCAATAAAATTTCATGATATCATGTCTATTGTCTTCAACGTAAATGTGACCCCCACAATTTTAAGACGTTATGTATGTAATATCTTTTCCTGATGCCAATGGTGATCAAGGAACAGGTGGATAGTTGTAGTTATCATGGTGTTCAAGGACCAGATGGATAGTTTTAGTTATCATGGTGATCAGGGACCAGGTGAATAGTATTAGTTATCGTGGTGATCAGGGACCAGGTGGATAGTTTTAGTTATGGTGATCAGGGACCAGGTGGATAGTATTAGTTATCATGGTGATCAGGGACCAGGTGGATAGTTTTAGTTATCATGGTGATCAAGGAACAGGTGGATAGTTTTAGTTGTTGTGGTGATCAAGGAACAGGTGGATAGTTTTAGTTATCATGGTGATCAAGGACCAGGTGGATAGTTTAAGCTATCGTGGTGATCAGGGACCAGGTGGATAGTTTTAGTTATCGTGGTGATCAAGGAACAGGTGGATAGTTTTAGTTATCATGGTGATCAAGGACCAGGTGGCTAGTTTTAGTTATCATGCTGATCAAGGACCAGGTGGATATTTTAAGCTATCGTGGTGATCAAGGACCAGGCGGATAGTTTTAGTTATCGTGGAGATCAAGGACCAGGTGGATAGTTATAGTTATCGTGGTGATCAAGGACCAGGTGGATAGTTGTAGTTATCATGGTGATCAAGGGGCAGGTGGATAGTTTTAGTTATCGTGGAGATCAAGGACCAGGTGGATAGTTGTAGTTATCATGGTGATCAGGGACCAGTTGGATAGTTTTAGTTATTGCGGTGAGCAAGGACCAGGTGGATAGTTTTTGTAAGTGTGGTGATCAAGGACCAGGTCAATAGTTTTAGTTATCATGGTGAGCAAGGAACAGGTGGATAGTTTTAGTTATTACGGTGATCAAGGACCAGGTGGATAGTTATAGTTATCGTGGTGATCAAGGACCAGGCGGATAGTTTTAGTTATCGTGGGGATCAAGGACCAGGTGGATAGTTTTTGTAAGTGTGGTGATCAAGGACCAGGTCAATAGTTTTAGTTATCATGGTGATCAAGGAACTGGTGGATAGTTGTAGTTATCATGGTGATCAAGGAACTGGTGGATAGTTGTAGTTATCATGGTGTTCAAGGACCAGGTGGATAGTTGTAGTTATCATGGTGATCAAGGATCAGGTGGATAGTTTTAGTTATTGGGGTGATCAAGGACCAGGTCGATAGTTTTAGTTGTCATGGTGATCAAGGACCAGGCGGATAGTTTTAGTTATCGTGGGGATCAAGGACCAGGTGGATAGCTTTAGTTATTGTGGTGATCAAGGACCTGGTGGATAGTTTTAGTTATCATGGTGAGCAAGGAACAGGTGGATAGTTTTAGTTATTACGGTGATCAAGGACCAGGTGGACAGTTTTAGTTATTGTGGTGATCAAGGACCTGGTGGATAGTTTTAGTTATCATGGTGATCAAGGATCAGGTGGATAGTTTTAGTTATTACGGTGATCAAGGACCAGGTGGACAGTTTTAGTTATTGTGGTGATCAAGGACCTGGTGGATAGTTTTAGTTATTACGGTGATCAAGGACCAGGTGGATATTTTAAGCTATCGTGGTGATCAAGGACCAGGCGGATAGGTTTAGTTATAGTGGTGATCAAGGACCAGGTGTATAGTTTTAGTTATCATGGTGATCAAGGATCAGGTGGATAGTTTTAGTTATTGCGGTGAGCAAGGACCAGGTGGATAGTTTTAGTTATTGTGGTGATCAAGGACCAGGTCGATAGTTTTAGTTATCATGGTGTTTAAGTACCAGGTCGATAGTTTTAGTTATCATGGTGTAAAGACCAGGTTAATGGTTTGTTATTCAGGTGTTCCAGGGCCTGATCCTTTAACTAGTCCTTGAACATCGTGAAAATATTCCTGATGTGGGGACAACACGAAGCCAGCAATATTGTAGATAACTAGTTATATGTAAACTTACTTCTGTTTTGTCGCTAATTTCCTCTGCTGCTTTGTTAAGTTCTGAAAATGAGAATAGATATTATCATACAACAGAAATACCAAACATTTAAATTAATTGCTAAAAATGTCAAGAATATGCTTTTTACAGAAACTTGAAAAACTTACTTAAAGCTCTTTATGAACCATTCACAAATGAAATATTAGATCTAATGAGCTATAATATATAACTTACTTTAGATGATGACTGGGGTTTATCTTTCTTTCCACTATGCTGTTTATCATGTTGTTTTTCTGAAACAAAATGTTCGTCATGTTATGTTCATTTAAAAATATATTATAACATAAAAAAACACATTAACAAATGTAAAAGGAGGTGGCACGGAGCCACAGCAGTGTCTAAAACATAACATCACTATCATGGTCATGTAACAGGCAAAGATTGGAAGGCTTAATAAATCTTACATCAAACACTAACTCAGGCAGGCATAATATATTACATCTGACTGTGGTCCAATGTCAACCAACTTAAAATGGCTTTCTTTAACATATAAAATTATGTAAGACCTGTAGAATAAAGATCAAGTCATTTCGGTACATATATGACAACTAATTGTACATACTCCTTCAGCGTAGCCAAATCGACATCGATTTGTGGACAACTTGTACACATTTTATACCTTTGTGTTTATTCGCTTCACTGGTCATTTGTCTGATTAGGGTGACAGAGTACATACCGTACTAGTCATCGAAACCTCACATATAACCGCTTTTTGGGTGTGCCACATGAATCTTTTCACAAAGAATGTGAAGTTTTTACCAATAATGGAACTTAACGGTACCTTGTTTGACTGAGGCATAAGCCGACTCCCAAAATAGTTCACGCTTAAGACAGACAACTACATAAAATTAACCAAGTTGTCGTTATATCAAAGTATTATCATGATCTCAGACGTATTTTATGTTGTGTAACAACATTGAGCTATAAGAAGTACCTGATTTTCTTTGACCGGCTTGGACTGATGACCTGTCTTTGTCCTTAAGACTGCCCTTGTGGCCTTCCCTACTCCTGCTACCAGAGCGATCTGAGCTGCCTTCATGTCTGTGATGATGGTGCCTGCCATCCATCCGTTGATCATGCTGACGGTTAGATGGGAAGTCCCTCCTATCCACTGATCTACCTCTAGGCGGCATGTGTTCTGGAGGCAAGTTCATGGGATGAAGAGGTGGTTCATGCCTGTCTCCCTGCGGCATGCCTGGCTCCATGTTGTGGACCAGTAACTGTACAGGCTGTAGCGTGTTTGGGTCCAACATGACCGGTACACCCCCACCAGCTGACACAGGGATGTCTGGATGTAACATATCCATAGGGACCAGGCCTGGTTGTGGCATCATACCTGGTTCAATGAACATCGGCACGGATCTCTCTGGAGATCTTGGCATCATCATAGGCATGTTTAGTGGGCCTGATGCAGGTATTTCTGTATAAATATAAAAAAACAACATATGTTAAACCTATAGCTTTTGTTGAATTGAAACACTATGCAGGAATCAGATTTATTTTTGCCTTGGCACCCTGAATCTTGAAATCATTACAGGTATTCTTATAGTAATGCATAATCAAAACCTGTTCAAAAATAAATTTGCTTGAGTGATAATACTAAATTTGGACAGGATCAGAAGGACACTGGTAACGTTATATGCTCCTCCCAATAAATGGAGGAGGCATAAAAAGGTATTCATTATAGCCAAAGTTCAACTATGACCACTGGACTGGGCCCCATGTATAATACTCTCAATCCAATTTGAGCCAGTAAAACTTGTTTAAGAGGTCACTCTCCAAAAATCAAATAGATGGTCTCTTAGTTCAACTTGTCACTCAATACAGGTACAAATAACTACAATAGGCAACATTGAAGATGGTCTCTTAGCACAAGTGATCTCCTTATGAAGGTGGTCACATGAGCATGTTTGCTCATTCAAACATGTTTTAATGACACTGAATAGTCAAAGGAATTGGGCACAAGTTCTTACAAATTACTAGACCCTCTCTCTTGCTTATATATGCAATTTTTCATTGTTTATTAATAGTAATCCTAGTTCTTTTTACCTTTGTTAATATTTTTCATATCATCATGCCTGTTCTGGTGGAAGCAACCTCGTCCCCTGCCTCCATGTCCTCTATCAAATCCTCTTCCTCTTCCCCTGTCAAACCCTTTTCCACGACCCCGCCCTCTGTCAATCCATCTTCCTCTGCCACGCCCCCTGCCTCTAGACCTAAACTGGCTATCATCTGGTGGATCATTGTTCATTCCTTGTTCCACCATCATTTGGTCCTGAATAGCCATCTGTGGCTGGTCAAGATGGACCAGAACTTGTTGCATACCATCTGGTCCAACTGGGCCAAGAAGCTGAGGTTCCATCCCTGGCTGTATCATTATAGGTATGCCTGGAGGCAGCATTTCAATGGGGCCATCAGGTCCCATCAGCATTGGTCCATTCTCTGTCTGTATGATATTGGCCATCCCCTGCTCCATCATCATTGGCTCGACATCTACTGGTACAAAAAAATAATACACACAGGTTTAATGTTATTCCACCAAATGGAATTTCCTTTTCAAGTACCGGTAGTGTCTCATTAGATTATATACAGTGTTTTCAATAACCTATGGCCTCAGGTCACAGAGGCAGGATTATGGATTTGATGAATTACTTTCAACTGTATGTCACTGTTATCTAGTGTATTGGGTTGTCAGGTAGTGCAGTTATTAGCACAGTGTACTCCCTTTTTATCAAGAAGACCTGTCAGGTTTAATTCCCCTACTGGATGTTAGAAGTTTTGGGTCACCTTCCCAACCACATTTTCTCCAGATATTCTGGTTTCCCTCCACATGAAGACCCTCTGTGCATTTCAATCCAGGTCAACAGAGAATGATTAATATATAGGTTGGAAAATCTTGTTTCCTAATTGTAGTAAAATAAGTAAAGTTTACATGTTGTTTCCTAATTGTAGTAAAATAAGTAAAGTTTACATGTTGTATGTATCTAGAGTATGAAAAACATCAATGTTATTAATTTAGTTACTACAAAATTTGTCAGTTGACCTGACTTAGTCCTTGATGGTGTCAAAGCAAACTCATGCTTGCTTGTTTATATGTTATTCCTTTTCTCACATCATCACTCACATCACTTCTAGTAGAACCTAATGAACCCTTATGAAAACATCAGCATGCAAGCACACTGCATATTAAACAATAGACAAGCTTTCATATAACTTACAACAGAAACTAATCCTGGTGATTCCAAGTGAAAAAAATATGTATTTAAAAATGGTAAGAAAAAAAAGAAAAAAGAAAAGATCCTACATCAAGGAACTCCAGTGTAAAATATCAGCATGCTAGATGTATTGAATCAAGGACGCTCCTTCACTAAAATTACCTACAAATTTTAACCTGTCTCAGACTCAAGCCCGCACCAGGGCATATACTTCCTATATATTAAAGTCTGGTTGGCTAAAAATCAATGCACTATTCTGATTATCTTGCATGTTAACATAAGAAAAAATACATCAGGATTTCAGGATTTCTTGGTTATACATGTATTTATAGCTTGTATTATAAATGATAAGTCATAATTTGTTCAGTGAAAGTTTCGTCACGCAAATACACTAAACCAGGGCCGCTTTCTTTTATGGCGGGCGATCCAAACATCCAAAATCTGATGCTGCTTTCAGGCGACCCTTGACAAAGCCTTGCAAGGCCTGCATAAACATTTGCAGGTCCGCCAGGATTTATACCCGAAAATGTTACTTTTCAAAACAGACAACCTGGTTATTCCCCATAAACGAATAGGCCCCTGGTTTCAAATCAATTAAAATTCAAGCAAATTAAAATGAGAGAGACTTTTAAGGAGAACTGTTGATTTACTCAATGCTTACCTGCACGATGAGGTGAAAACTGCCTTCCACCTCTGGGACTTGTGCTTCGGTGATCTCTAGGACTTGTGCTTCGCCGGTTCCTAGGACTTATGCTTCGCCGGTTTCTAGGGCTTGTGCTTCGATGATCCCTGTCAGTTCGGTTACTGTTGTCATTTCTAAACCTCCAATGATCTTGTCCTCTGCCCCTCTGATCAAATCCACCCCTCCTTTCAAAACCACCCCTTTTCTCAAACCCATCTCTTCTTTCAAATCCACCTCTTCTTTCAAATCTGCCTCCTCTCTCAAATCCACCTCCTCTCTCAAATCTACCTCCTCTCTCAAATCTGCCTTGTCTTTCAAATCTTTCCCTGTTATGATCTGGCAATTCATCTTGTTGTTGATCGTTTCGATTAAAATTGTTCTCATGAACTGGACTTTCTTCATGTCTATTATAATCAGTGTCTCTGTCTGGAAATTCCTCAACCTCTCTATTGACAAAATCATCAGGAACAAAGTCACCTTCTACTGGACTAGGAACAAACTGGTCATTCTGCAAATTCTCCTCATGTCTCTCAATAAATATGTCATTCCGCATGTTGTCATCTCTATCATCAAAATGGCGACGATCTCGTCTATGTCCTCTTCTGTCATCTCTCTCATTGCGATTTCTTCTATTATCTCCCATATGATCTCTATGTCTTCGTTCCCAGGAACCATCTCGATGTGGAGATGGACTATGACATCTACTATTTCTTTCCTCACTTGGAAATCTTCTTTCCTCCTGCCATCCATCTAAATCTTTCATGTTAGGCGAGTTATCCCTTAATTGACCCTCATTGTTGGAGTATTGTGACAGTCTGTCTCCATGAACTCCCATTTCGTCATTGAATTGCTCATTTTGTTCATGCCATTCTCTTGGTAGATTTGGTGACATCTGAAAACGTCTTTCATCATTTTCCTTTGGACTTCTAGATCTATTCCATCTAGTTCTTTGTTGTCCACGGAAACGGTCCCCATCAAAATCTGGTGATATGTTGCCTTCTTCAATCATCATAATTCCTTCTTCATCATCAAAGAACCTTTGAGGAGCACCTTCCCTTTCTAATACTGGAGATCTTTCCAAAATATTGTCATCAAAATGTTCAACTTGTTCCCAATTTTCTAAATAATAAATAGAAGAAGTATTCAGCATCTCTGAAAATGTCACTTTTCAAAAACAAAAGTACAAGAATTCTGCAGACACTAAAATTTGGTCACCCACTTCTTTTTCTCAAAAAGTACTAAATTTAAGAGAGGCCCTATCAAATATCCTGATTGACAGGCTTACAATTTACATTATCTTTAATATGCACTGAGATAGGATATACTTAGAAGATTCTAAACGAACAAAAGATCTCTTAGATAAGCAGGAGCTAAAACCGCTCTTGCAGGGTATGGACCCCAGCTACCAGTAGTGGCATAATCTATCTTTTATTAATTTATGAAGAATCTGTGATTATGTACCATTTGAAAGTAAATTTACCATTTCTCGTAGGGCTGCCAAAGTTTCTCCGATTTGGTTCCATATCTCGGTCTTGGTTTCTTTGATTAAAGTTTCCCCTGTTCCAACCGAGACCTCTTCTGAATCCTCGTCCATGGCCCCTCCTCCAGTTCTGGTTTCCACCTCTGTTGTTTTTGTTATAACCTGACATAGTTTATCAGGAACAGTGTGGACACAAATCTGATCATAAGATAATCACACTTTTGATTCTGAAATTAACAACAAATTAACATGTCAATATGATATAAATAGAAAGTATCTGCTGTCAACAAAGAATTTCCTTTTTCATTGAATTTCATATCTACGAGTACATCAGTCAGCTGAAAAGGCGAATACAAAACTTAAACATTTATCTTGAAAAATTTAACAGAACTAGTACAATATACATAGATAACAGTCAAAAATTAGCATAATTAAACCCATTTCTAAATGTACACTGAAGGAGAGCTTCGGTCAAATATTTATCTCTACCACTGTTCTGATGAAAATGTCTACGACAACCTTTTTACATATTTTAATACCATTTCTCCACTACAAGGTAAATTTTGCTAACCATTTTCACAAGTAGGTTGGTTTGCAATATGATTGAATGTGAACTCACCCAAAAACCTTATATAAAAAATACTCTTGGTTATTATACAATTGTGTGCAACATATTGTAGTGAAATCTATAACAGATATTGATCGAGAAAGAGCTATGCAATGGCCACACCTGAAGGATGCAAACCCAGGACCCTCCAAACTCTAGATGGGTGAGCCTGAATGGGAATCAAATCCCAGACCCTTTGAACTCTACATGGGTGCTCTACCAGTTGGGCTACCTGGTTGCTGACAATCAACCCAGACCAATTCTGCTACATTTATAAACATATTTTAGGAAAAAAAAATCATTTAGGAAGATTTTGCGATATCTTGGACTAACCACAGGGGTTTGTTACAAATGTCTGAAATAAAACATATGTTATACTGATATGGGTCACAGCACACATAAACATGTTTATGTGTGCTGTGACCCATATCATTGTAGCCTATGTGCATTTCATACATTTGTAACAAACCATTGTGGGCCAACCAAAATAGCCTGTTGCTGTTACAAAATAGTTTGAAATGATCTTTGTCGTCTTTATCAGCACGATGACAGAGTGAAATAAATAATCTTTCAAGCCATGTATGGAGAGTACGTGAACAAGCTGGGATATGTAAGAAAACATATTAAATGAAAATCTAGTGTTAATCAGGTTGGTTTACAAGCGTCATCTGTAGGGAATTTCCCTTTAGCTCAGTTTTAGAGCATTTGGCTGGAAAGCCAATGGTCGCGGGTTCGAGCCCCAGCGACGGTACAATCTTTATCACTACTCCTCATCTTATTACAAATTGGTGCTGTTGACCCTTCCCGTTGAAGGTAGGAGAACCCTTGGCGGTAAGTCAAAGAACATGGGTTGGTGTTAGAAAAGAAAGGGGGGGGTGCATATTGTAAAAGAAGTGAATAGATTAGGTTGCCTTACAAGCGCCAGCGACGGCACGATCTTTATCACTATTCCTCGTCATATTACACAAGTACGCATTTTCCCCCAGAGACACTATAATGCACCAAAAGTTTGGAGTGCAGTACAGTTGTAAGAGGTTTGTCACCTGATATATTCTCTGGATAAATTAACATGGCGAACACTGTTTGTACGTTATAACTTGGTTTGGTTATAAAATAAAATGAGGTTTTTTTAACACATGTACAGAATCCGCAAGATAACTCTTGTACCAAGGGGAAATAACAAACATCTTCACTCCAGTATTGAAATAAAATGTTTTCCAGAAACGAAATGCTGGGGGGAAAGGAGGAAAAGGTTCAATATTCATAAGGAGCTTTTGTACCCGATACTTACGCCGCCATTTTACCGGATATACCCTAATGATTGTTATTTCCTGTACGGGTTGTCGGACCTTTAATCCGGAATATTTGGGTGTACTCGATTGGAACTCTATAAATCGTGTCAGAAACTAAATAGTACGTTGTTTTGTGAATGTTACTTTACTATATTTTTAGACATGCATAAATAATATATTTATTGTTCAGTTACAAAAAAAAAGAGATCATTTTTGGTCTATTTTTTTCTGCAATTTGTATTATGCAGTAGCTACACTTGTATCCGCTTCGGTACTGAAGCGAAATCAACCGTGGGTATCCGACGATGCGCTTGTATAATCCTTATCTTTTTAAACATTAGCCAGACGTTTTTTTAGGTAGGGGATGCCCGATCACCTGCCATCTGAGCTACTGTTGCTTTATTTTTATTCCGAAACTGTTATTATATCATTACTAATCTGTGTAATTCTTAGTCTTTTTTACAACATTAATATGAAAAGAACTGTCAAACATTAGAAAGTCGACTTAGTAGGTAGCCCGATCACCTGCCCTCGAGACTAATATCTTATAAATATTTATATTTACCTATATTTGAGTACTATACTTGTTATTGCGTCTCTAAAGAAGAGGACCCCAGTGGAAATAAGCCTAAGGCTTTTCTGGGTTATCCTGGTTCTAAGGGCAACTTAATATATTTTAGATAGAGGCATTTTATTAGGATTACCACCGCCAATTTTTTTTATCAATAAACATATAAAGGAAGATGTGATATTTAATTAAATATGTGATTACTTTCTTCAAAGAGGTTCGCATTAAACAAAGAACAGAACCATGGATGTCTGCTGAAATTTTGGATCTTATCAAGCAGAGAGATTTATTTTTACTTACATTTAAAAAGTCAGGTAAAACTGAAGATTACAAAACTTTCTGCTATTACAGAAATTTAGTTCAAAGGAATTGTAAAAAAAACAAGGTTGATTATTTTAATGAACCAATTTCTGAAAATAAGAACAACTCTAAAAATCTATGGAAAAGTTTTGAAAAACTTGGCTATGAAAATGATACAAAATCTGATGCAAAAGTCGTGCATAAGCAACAAAAATTGCCATGATGGATTTTCTATTGCCAATTATTTTAACTTATATTTTACAGCTATAGCTGCCAAACTTGTGGAAAGACTGCCAAGCTGTAAGGGAATTTACAATACTACTTCTTATTTATTTAGAGGCTTTTACTCAAAGGGAAAACCCAGTAAACTTCAGTTTCATTTGAAACATATTAGTGAATCATTTGTGTATAAAGAACTTTGTAATCTTAAAACTGCTAAAAGTACAGGCCTGGATGGCATTCCTGCTCGCTTTCTTAAAGATGCAGCAGTAATATTAAAAATTCCAATTACTGTCCCTGAAGGAATGAAAATGGCAAAAGTAAAACCTCTATTCAAAAAATGTGACAGATTAATGGCTGAAAACTATGGACCAGTCAGTATTCTCTGCATTGTATCAAAAATACTTGAGAAAACAGTATACAAACAACTGGAAACACACCTTATTTCGAATAATTCATTATATGAACACCAATCAGGATTTAGAACATCTCTTTTAACTGATTCTTTAATTGCCTCATCCATCTTGTAGACTATATTAAATCCCAGACAGCTAAAGGTCTTTTTACAGGCATGGTACTTTAAGATTTACAAAAAGCATTCGATACAGTTGACCATGATATTCTTTGTGAAAAACTTAAATGTATGGGTATTGAATCTATTGCATGGTTTAAATCCTATTTCATGCAAAGAAAACAACTTGTTCATGTTAACAAAACAAATTCCAACACTGAAGAGGTAAACTGTGGGGTACCCCAGGGTAGTATACTAGGCCCACTTTTATTTTTAACGTATATTATTGACATGCAGATGAGTATGGACTCTTGAGTGCAAACTCCTACTATATGCAGATGATAGTGCTATAATTTTTTCACACAAAGACCCAAACATAATATCGGATAAATTATCAAAAACACTGGAATCCTGCCACGATTGGCTTGTAGATAATAAACTTTCACTTCATCTTAGGAAAACAGAAAGTGTCCTTTTTGGTCCGTAAGGAAAATTGAGAAATTGGAGTTCCAATTGTTTTAATATTAAATGAAATGGACATACTACTGAGTCCAAACCACATGTAAAATATTTGGGTGTAATCTTAGACCAGTTTCTTTCAGGACAACATATTGTGAACAATGCAATACAGAAAATTAATCAGTTATATACCAGTACATATACCTACATATAATCAACTATATACATTTCGAATACACTATTTCTGGCTCTGTAAGGGAGAGAGTTCCTATAGGTGGACAGAGCTGATATGACCAACACCGAATCAGAACTTTTTCCAAATACAGCTCAGTCGGAGTGTACGTTACTATATAATAGGTAAACAATCAACAAACTATTATTAACCCCCTCCCCTACGTTAATGTATGAAGAGTATGGTCGGTAGGGATTGGCCCAACCACCAGCCCTTTGGCAGGTAATATTTTAAGTTAATACTATATATCTTTGATTCAGTTAAAATTCCAATATATTGTCATATTTCATATTTTATATCATTCCATTACCAGCATTATTTTATTGATTATAGCCTATGGCACATGTAACATTTTATATCTATTTTTTATAAAAAAAAAAGTGTCTTAGAGTCTTATCAAATTATCAATATATACTATATAATTATGTAACTATTTTATGAGTTGAATTGATTTATTTAGATCTAAGGGACCCCATTGGAATTAAGCCACAATGTGGCTTTGTGGGTCATCCCAGGTAAAGGCCTAAATTAATATAATCCAATCCAGTTTTAACACCTGACTGACTTCTAGTCTTATGGCATAAATAACTTATAAAGAAGATCTCATTCTGTGATAATATATATATATGTATGTCCAATATGCAAAATGTGATAGAAGTGTATTATTTGCCTTTTACCTGAATAAATATTATTATTAATTGTTTTATATTCCTTAGTTGAAAAAAATGCAAATATATCTTATACATACTAACGATAATTGTTATATCTTGTTGTAACTTTATACAAAAATAAAATTGAAAAGAACTGTTCTGGAAAACTTCTATTCGTATTCACTTCGTGCAAAAATCACGATAAAAGCAAGACAACAGCAAATCATCGGATTTGTTTTCACATGTCGGTGGTATACATCATTGAAATATCATTTCATGGGACTGTTCGGCCCGTCAAGTCATGAAATAGGCGGGGAAATCTGATAGTCCACCAGCAGTGACAACACCTTGGTATGTTAATTAGTAACTATAAATAAGAGGTATGGTACACATACATGTATTTAAAATGAAAATTATTTAAGTGTAGGTACAATAAATGGATCGTATTTTAATCATTATCATATGAGCATCATTTTATTTGTAGATCAAACATTAATAATTCGTTTGTATTTCACTTGAAACTTAGGCCGTGTCCTGTTTTGTGACCTCATTGTAGGAATATCGATACTTATTTTGATTAGGACTGTTCGCCTCTGATGGTTCTTGTGACCTAGGCATGTCTCACCGCCCGGCTTAGTTTCTGTACCGATGTCGTCCTTAGTTCTCCTCTACGCACGTTCGTCCAACATTTTTGTGTGTACATATAGTAGATTAGAGATCGATGGTCAGAATGTGAAGAGATGCTGATGTATTAGCATAATCCAGTATCGTCTCTCATCAATATTCAAGTCATTCAATGTCAAATTCGCTTCGGGATATATATATGGAATAACCAGTGTTCCTTTAAATTTGGAAACTCATTAATTCTGTTTCTAGAAATATTTAGACAATTAGGATTGCTATTGTTTTCGCCTCTAGCATCACCGATGAGTCCTAGAAGACAACATTAACAGCTGTATGCTCTGTCTATTGCCACACAACATTAACAGCTGTATGCTCTGTCTATTGCCACATCTTAAACGTGCAGTCGCTCGTGTGTGCGTTTCATTCATTTTACAGCATACTTCATTTTGTCGTACTTTCCAAGAGATCACATGAATATTGTTTCCTGTCATTTGGATGAAGGGTCTACATTATCTATGTCTATTGCATGATTTCGATTGACACTATTTCACGAATCCCTACGATTGGTTGATGGTGTCTAGTCCTCCGTGAGGTATACTTAAACGTCCTTGTCATTTTATCATATACACGTACGTTATCAAAAACCGCACACTAATTTGAAAGCTAGAGTTTGTAAATAACATTGTTTAGAAGGAATGTAAAAAAAATAAGGTGAGACCTAATTGCAAGTAATGCCGGGTATCTTATCCTCATTACTATATATGTTTTATACAAATTGTATATGGTATGCTTTTTCTATTTACAAACTGATGACCTGGAAGAAGTTTATTATAAAGGAGAAATCGTTAACGACGTCCTTTTTTGGGGGTGCAAACTACAATCTACATGCGTTTTCATTGTCATTATTACATTTACCACTGGATTTACTGAAGTCAACAGTATATGTCCGTGTATACGTTTCAGTTAATTGAAATTGTGTTTCACATATATGCATGAAAGTTTTATTGTTTTTGCTGGAAAGAGTATTTATAGCTATATTTTTGTGGGAAATAGTACGTTTTCCATTGTGATGTGAGAAATAGTGCGGGTGAGAAAGTGCTTTGGGAAACAGTACCCGTTAGCTATTGTACTGTTGTGGAAATTAGTAAACGTAAGCGTTGTTTTGTGGGAAATAGCCATTTTGTTGTGGGAAATAGAGCCCATCAGCAAGTGTTGTGGGAAGTAGTGCACATAAGTCACAGTGTTGTAGGAAATAGTACACGTTAGCAAATGTTTTGTTGGAGTAGCGGATAGTACCTGTTAGCCACTGTGTTGTGGGAAATGGTACACATTAGCCACTGTGTTGTGAGAAATGGTACACATTAGCCACTGTGCTGTGGGAAATGGTACACGTTAGCCACTGTGTTGTGGGAAATGGTACACGTAAGCAACTGTTTTGTGGGAAATGGTACACGTT